TGCTGGGATTATAGGTGTGAACCACTGCACCAAGCCAGAATTAATCTATGTTTATCAATGTGCGTTTATTGAGGCTAGTGTTGTGTTCATTTATAGCTGTGAAATACACTTGGTAATAATGATTGCAGACTGTTTTAGGTAACAAGGAACATTTGAGACAAGATCTGAATATAACAAAATCCTGGAAATGTGAAAAATTAACTTTGGAACGGGTTCTAAGAGGAGAAACTCGTAGATTCCATTTCCAGTTTTACATTCTAAGACAGAGGTTCTCAAATTTTTGGTCTGAGGACTCGTTTATACTCTTAAAATCCCACAGAGCTTTTGTTTAAGTGAATCCACTTAACAATAAGTTAATATCTATTAACTTTTACTATGTTAGAAACCAAACCTGAGAAAATTTAGAAATATAAATTTATTAATTCACTGAAAAATAATATTTTCACAGAAAAGATGCGTGAGAATATTGGCACTGTTCTACATTTTTGGAAATCTTTTTAATGTCTGGCTTGATAAAAGACATATGGATTGTCACATCTGCTTCTGATTCAATTTGCTGATATCGCATGTCACAGAGCCTCTGAAAAATTTCAGTTACACTTAAGAATGACAGCAAAAATGGTAAATAACATCCTAATATTATTATGAAAATAGTTTTGATCTCACAGACCCTGTGAAAGAGTCTCTGAGGCCCTTGGGGTCTCTGAATCACACTTTGAGAACTACTGCTCTAAGAATTAAATTCAACAAGAGTATTAAATTTCTTGAGTACCTATTGGGTGCCCACCACAAAATACAAAGACACATCCTCGCCTCCAAGGAACCTTCAGTGTCCCCTTTCATACCTCATTTCCAACCAAATCTTAATATTATAAGACTTCAGTGTCATTCTATGATACTTCTTCCTTGCCATGTACCTCATTAGATGACAAGAACTCTACTTTTTTCCTAAGTTTCTGTAGCAATTATTATCTGTGCAATTCATCTGGGATTTTAATCATATACTGCAGAGGGAGACTTGTTTATTACTGATCAAACTACAACTTATTAATAGTGCATATTTTGTGGTTATATTTTGTCCTCGCTACTGATGGTAGCCTCTTTCAGAGTAATAACTTATTTTACTTATGGTGTCCAAGGTTAAGTAGTGAAGACTAGGGATACACTAGTATTTAGTAGTTTGATTTGCAACTACTGAGTGTGGCAGACACAAGACTACGTGCTCACCAATCCTATTTCCTTTCCCTATTCTTGAGCACTCAGACCCTTTTTCAGTCTCTCCTGCAGTTGGGTTGGGGCCATGTGACTGGGTTTGGGCCAGTAGATGTAAGTCACCAAGAAGCCTGGCCCATAAAAACACCTAGTGTAGCCCTCCTGCCTTATCTTCCCTTTTGGTAGTGACTGTGGTAGTCATGTTGAGCTGGCAGAATTCCAGGATAAAAGCAGCAGGATTCCTGAGTCACCATATGGAGGACAGCTCTGGAGATTAGCCTGATACCGCATAAACTAAGCGAATGAGGTTTCAGGCATTACTTGTTACTGCAGCAAAGCCTGCCTTATCTTGGAATATTAGTGGAAAAAGAATGTTCGCAAATGAAATAGAAATAATGTGAGACACAATGCTATGTATGAAAAGAGTCAGGAGTGATATGGAAGATGAGAGTGGGCAAGAACCAGTTTCGGTTCATGTGCTAGGACAGACTTTACGGAGAAGAGGGGATGAGATAATTTGAATGAGTAGAATTTGAACTGGCAAAAACGTGGTGGAAAGACTAGGAGCATAAACTCAGCAAAGTGAGAACAAGCAGGAAATATAAATGAGGGAAAACGAAGACAGATTCAATATTAGAAAGTTAACACTATAGCGGTGTGGTGGCATGCCTGTAGTCCCAGGTACTTGGGAGGCTGAGGGGGGAGGATTGCTTGAGTCTGGGAGATGGAGGCTGCATTGCGCCACTGCACTTCCACCTGGGTTACAGAGAAAGACCCTATCTGAAAAAAAAAGGAAAAAAAAATTAGGTTAATACTAGATGGGGAGTGGCAAACTGAGGCTCGGCTAGAATATTAAATTGTCCAAAATACTTTAAGTAGAATGCTAATAAAATTGAGGGTTCTTCAAAGCAAACAGTGTGGAACACAACAGATAGCCATACAATGGTGATCACTTCCTGGATCTTAGCAAGTTTTGGGCTATGCACTGGGCATGGTATCACTGAATCTTCAGAGAAAACCTATGAAGTCTATGATCCTCATTTTACAGATGAAAAAACTGAAGCTTAGAGAGGAGATGCATCTTGAAAATGCTTTAGAATTCTCCCGAAAAACAGGACCAACAGGATATGAGAACGTTTTATTTGAAGAAATTGGCTCACATGATTGTGGGGGCTTGATGAGTCCAAAATCTGATGGGGTAGGCTGGCAGGCTGGAGAGCCAGGGAAGAGGTACATCTGCTGGCAGAATCCATTCTTGCTCAGGGGAGGTCAGTTTCAGGGGCTGTAGTGCTGCAGTTTCAGGTCGTACCTGCACATCATGCAGAAACACCTATAAACCAGGCTTGAGCTTCCTCTTCTCTACATTAAATCAAGGTAGGCCTGGCATTTCTCACTCATTCATTGTGGTCCACCTTCTGGTCCATGTTTTAGTCAACAAACCAATCAGTTATATAGCACTAACTCCCTGAGTTGCAACATTAAATGCAAAAATGGTGCTCAACTGGCCCCTATCAATACATTCAGCCTGATTCAATTTTATGTTTCTTCCATCTTTATCCCACACCTTTAATATCCATTCCCCGACATATTTCCTGGATTTCTGACTAAATTAGAAAACTCAAGTAGTGCTTTTGGAATGTAGTATGACTCGTGGATCACATTTTGTGCCTCACCTTTTGGGACTGCTAGGACTTGAGTCTAGTTATAGTTCTAGAAGCCAAGAGAGGTAATGGGGATGTGCCCTGAGGAGAATCAGCACTGTCTCGTAAGGCAAGTGCATCAGGGGAGGTGATGATTCCTTAAGCAATGAAAGGTTAGTTCCCTCAGGTGGGGGTGGAGAGGATACATCTACTGGGGTAGAGAAACTGCTTCTAATGACAAAGATGACTCACTGGAATTTAGGGACTCAATGTCCCCAGTGCCATCAAGGTCTTTCCATATGCTCCCATTCCAACTTTCAGGATCCTGTTCATTCCCAATCAATGCCCTCACTTTAGAAGTAGACAACTTGCGAAGGCCGGGCGCGGTGGCTCAAGCCCATAATCCCAGCACTTTGGGAGGCCGAGGCGGGTGGATCAC